GTGTGTTTGGTGACCCTGTGTGCTCTGCTGGTGGCCGCCATCTGCACCATCATCTGGCGTGAGTCCCATTTCTACCTAAATACTTTTTCACTTTGCTTTTTACTCACATCCGACACAGAGTGTAGAAATCTGTAAACTGATTCTGTTTTTGAACTCAGATCTTATTTTTCTGATGGAAAGGAACTGGAGGAAAATGCTTCTGGTTGTATTTTGTTCCTTTTATAGTTAATCTGCAAATGAGGACACAGGATGTAAACCTCCACTATCAGACTGGACTCATAGGGACACTGACTGATCAGCTGACCAACCTCAACCAGACGCTGGAAGCCATCATGATGAACAACCATTTTCCAAAAGGAGAATTCTGTCTCATTCAACGTGAGTACTGTCTGCTTCAGAGGAGCGTCAGAGAAATAAAAATTTACCTGATCAGGTAAAACATGCAACTTTCACAGTTTCTTCATTCATTTTATTCTTTGAAGAAGAAAGTTTTTTTTTATAAATTGTGTCATCTTCACCTGCATTTAGAATTTTCTTTTGAACTTCACATAAATATATTTTTCTTGATTTCTGAAAGTTTGATTTTGAAAGTTCACTGATGCATTACAGAATAAAAGGCAATCCATGTGAAAAGCTCCATAATCACATTTACATCATTTATCGTAAAACCTTTTGTATTTATTGACTTTGTGTGTTTTATGAACAGACTGTAAGCTGTGTGAGAAGAGCTGGGGTGTGGATCAGGACAAGTGCTGGCTGGCCATTCCTGAAGGGAAACAAAATAAAAAGTTCTGCAGAGACAGAAATGCAGTTCTGGTTGATTTTAATTATTGAGAACAGATTAGCTCCAACATCACACCTTTAGCTTTACTAGGATTATTAGAGCAAGAAAACTGTGAAATTATTGGAGCTGATGAGACTCGTTCAGACTTAAAGGGAAACTATTCAGTTTGGGATTGTTTTTAGCACCCTCTAGAGTCTGTTATTAACTCACTGTCGTAAAACCAAAAATAAAACTTCTCCTTGCTGTGTGTTTGTCTTTTTAACACCTTAATCTAACAGATGCAATGTCTCCTTAGCCTTCATTTGGTGTCTACAGGAGTGATTCATCACAAAATCAAACAAATCCGCCAGCTGCATCACCAGCCAATTTTGACAGAGCTTCAACCCCAAATGTTTTCAGTCGAGTCCCGAAAGTTTTTTGTCTTTTTGTTTTCACTCATCAGCCACAAGCTCAGTCTCTACTCTCTCTCTCTCTCTCTCTCTCTCTCTCTCTCTCTCTCTCTCTCTCTCTCTCTCTCTCTCTCTCTCTCTCTCTCTCTCTCTCTCTCTCCAGTCACGCTTTCATGACTTTAAATACTTTGTGCTGATGATCAACAATGCATGTGTGTGTGTGTGTGTGTATATATATAAATAAGTCTCCTCTTCACAGCATTGAATCTCCTAGAGTTTTCAACACCTTTCTTGCCACAAACTCCAAAGATTTTGTGATTTTTACTTATTTTAGATTTGACTGTAGCCTTCGACATAATGAACCATGACATAGTACTCTGACAATCAAAGTGCTGTGTTGGCATTTGTGGCCTTGCCCTGAAGTACTTTTTAAATTTTAATGATAAAAAAACAGAGTTGATTGTCCTTTGCATTGGTGCCTTCAGTGGGCCACTCCCAAGTCAACAGTGGCAAATGAAGGTTTTAAGGTGGGTGGAGATTTTATGATGGAAAGTCAGACTGTTGAGTGGTTATTTTTGCCCCCTTGCCTGTCCACTCCGGTACCTAAGCGAATCTGGTCTAACATGCCACAAACATGCTAAAGACTAAGGCGCTACTGGAGGAATATCCCACATCCCTCTTGCTGATCAGTAAAACTACTCTGGCATATTGTGGCACCCAGATTAACCATCATGTCTGCTTCAACTCCCAGGACAGGACAGGTAAAAAAAAAAGAGGAGGAGGGTGAAAGCCCTTGTTTAGCATGACTCTTTCTAGGGCTGGGCGATATGGACCAAAAAGTCTATCTAAATATCTTTTAGCTGAATTTTGATATTCGATATTTAATCTCGATATTTTCCCTCCTGCAAAATATTTACAAGTGAACTCTCTTCAAGATGTATACATGAAATCATCAGCAGATTAAATTCATACAAATGTATTGAGCCTTGTCCAACATTAACCTTAGTACCTTACTCTATCAGTCAGAGCTTTAGACACACTGGTACAACCACACATATAGGTTTATATTGGTATGTGCTTCACGTGGTTCATTTACAATTGTTTTTAATGTGAACTGGAACTTGAGTTTGTAATAAAGAATATCTATCTATCTATCTATCTATCTATCTATCTATCTATCTATCTATCTATCTATCTATCTATCTATCTATCTATCTATCTATCTATCTATCTATCTATCTATCTATCTATCTATCTATCTATCATCTATCTATCTATCTATCTATCTATCTATCTATCTATCTATCTATCTATCTATCTATCTATCTATCTATCTATCTATCTATCTATCTATCTATCTATCTATCTATCTATCATCTATCTATCTATCTATCTATCTATCTATCTATCTATCTATCTATCTATCTATCTATCTATCTATCTATCTCAGTCAAGAGCTAGAGATGTCTCAAATGTCCCACAGGCATTTCTATCCATTAAAAATTTATAATTAATGTAAAATAACTTAAATTCCATCTAGAGGTGGCTCATATCCTCTCATCCACAAAATTACCAGTAACGGTTTCTTGTCCGTTAAAAAAAGCTATCAGGTTATGCTAAACTCCCAATGTATTTGCATCTACTGCTCAGGATTACACTTTTTTTTGGCCCTCCTGCTCTCCGTAACTTTTCCTGACCACATGTGGGAGGGCGGAGTTTGGCCCATTTTGTGTCTTGTTTGAAATTATATAGATATTATAAATATACCGATATACTGCCCCGTCCTACCTCTGTCCATGGTTCTGTACCTTGGTAGCAGGAGAGGACGCTGTCCTTGGTCCTGAACTCCTGCTCCTGGAGCAAAGATGCAGCAGCTATAACAGGAATTAAATGACTCATTTTCATCTGCAGACTGATGAATGTTGTTGGAGATGGTGAAACCATATATGTGATCAGAACTGGAGAAAAATACTGGAGCTCCATCCTGATCTGGAACTGTTGGAATGTGTTAGCAACAGATAGATGCCACATCATTTGGTAAATGCATAAGTATAAACCTACAGAGCTTCTAATTTAAAGTCACAAATAAATTAAAACTGACAACTGGAGCAGCATGACGGGCCAGTTAGGTGATATGCCATTGGAGCAACTCATCACTTTACATGGGCCCCATGCTGATGGATGATGTCATCATCTGTACACTTTATGTTATGTAACATCATGATGGTGTTGGCCCTGATGCTCATTCTGCAGACTTTTATCTGCAGAATTTCTCAGATCAGCTATGAAACAATCCTGTAGGAATTGTGTGTTCCTAAATCACATCCAGTCACATAACCTTGAAGCAGATAGATAAACTAGAGCCAACAGCCAGTAAAAGTGGATCTTTAAGAGTTAATTAAAAGGTTCTGAACAGATCTAATGTGAAGTGGTTTTTTTCAGATGTTACGGGCAGCTGCTTCCGATGCTGCGTCATCTCTGCTTTTTAGTTTGGCTCTGGATACACAACCTTTCAGAAAATTACTTTTTCACTTTTATTGTTTTTTTCTTTTCTTTTTTCCCCCCATGTCATGTCTGGCTATGAAGCAAACAGAATTAATGTCTGAATGCTGGTGACAAGCTGGTGAAAACCTGTTTCGCATTCTGAGTGGTAAATAGGTCTATCGAACTACTCTTGTATAAAATATGATTCATTTGTTAAAAATTAGAATATTGTGACTTCAGATTCTAATCTTTACACTTTTTTTCTGTACAAATTATCCAGAATATTTAAAATCTGTCAGAAAATAAGAAGCATTTAACCCATGTTTAATGCATGTTTTCTTATTTACTCACTTTTGTTGCTTTAAGTCTTGTGGCCCCTCCTCCTGGGGGAGGGGTTTTCCAGTGTGGGAGGGGCTCCTTAATAGGGGAGGGGTTACATTGAAGCAGTAGGGGCTGCTAATTAAGAGTAGGAGTTTATTGATGGGGGAGGAGCTCTGAATCATCAGCTCAGATAAGCAGATTCAAATGAGGATTTGGACTTAAATACTTAGCAATATTTTTCTTGATTTTATTATTGTAATGAAAGGAAAATGTATCTTATGTACAAATATGAATGGTAAACTAAATTTGAATACATTTTAAAAGAAAATGAACTGAAGATGTTTTATTTTTGCCTGAAAACATTTACCTTTTTTGTATTTATTTTAATACAAGTAATATTCTTTCCTGCAAGCAGGTTTTATCACATTATTCATAGATTACATATTTAACAAAATGTTGAAAAGGAAAGTTATGAGTCAGACTATCCAAGACACAGTTCATTTGGTTTTTAGTGTCTTTAATTGTAATTATATCAGAAATGTCTTTAAAATGTTTGTATGTTGTAATTTTAAATTAATTTGGTTTTGACACAAAAAGACTGTTTCACTTTTAAAACCTTTAAATTTACCCTTTACAAAGTTTGTTTTATTTTCTTTATTATAACCGAGGGTTCTGGGTGAGATTTTACTGAGGTTTGATCGTTACTCTTGCAGCAGCATCTGCAGAGTACTTCCTACAATCCTTCACAATAAAAGCATCAAAATCCATTTGAAGCTTCTAGTCTGGCTAAACTCCAGCTCCAGCCTGAACTGTTGACAGATTATGTTTGAATTTCTTTATAAAAACTCTTTACACAGGGCATTATGGGGAAAAATATTTGAAGAAATGTCACATTTAATTAGCCTATGTAATTTGTGTTATTGGTGAATTAATTTATTTAAACCTTTAATATTGAGAGCATCACTAATTAGTTTAAGTTTTTAGACATCTACTGAACAATGTGATGAATCCAACAAGACAACTAATTTTTTACTTAGTTTTATTACTTAGTTCCTATAAGGCTGAAGACTTAAAAATAATTTGGAGTTCATTCAGGCATCAGTAAAGAAAATTAATGTTTTACAATCATGACTGATTCAACAATTATTCTAGCGAACACACACACACACACACACACACACGCACGCGCACACACACACACACACACACACACACACACGCGCACACACACGCACACACACACACACACACACACACATCCTTCTGCATTATTCAGAGTTTTAAAGCACCAGTTCATCAGTTAAAAAGAAAAACTCTTTTTCATAAAAATAAAAGATAACTGTTCTTGGCTGTGATTTAATCTTATTATTCGTTTGATTTCTTTTTCTTCTTCTTTGGAGGAATCGCCTCGTCGTCCTCCATTTCCTCTGAGAACTTTTTATTTTTCTTCTTTTTCTGCTTCTCAGTTTTCACGCAAACTCCTTCTGCCTCCAGAGTTTCAGACTCTTTATCACAACTGTCTTCTTCTGCAGGTCCAACGTCCCTGTTGGAGCATTTCTTCTTCTTCTGTTTTCCTCTGGAGTTCACCTCTCCAGTTTCCTTTGGACTTTCTCTTTCTGCGCCTTCGTCTGTGGAAACTCGCTCCTCAGCTTCATCTTTCTTCTTCTTCTTCTTCTTTTTTGTTTGACTTCTTTTTTCAGGAGGTCCGCAGTCCTCCCGACTGTTTATCAGATCAGATTTCTCTGTGGAGCTTTTCTTTTTCCTGCAACACTCCTCCGTTCCCTCGTCTGTCTGAGTCGTCGCTCTGACACAAACTGATGGAGACTTCGGCGCCTGGCTCTTCCCGCCGTACTTGGCCATGAACTCCGCCTCCTGCTGCTCCAGTCTGGCTAACTTGGCGCTCATGGTGAGCCCGTGCCTCGCTCCTCTGAAACACAACAGAGACGAAGCTCAGCTTCACTGTTTTCATTCTGAGCTTCTTCATGAGGATTTTAGATCACGTCTACTCACTTGTGAGCCGTGCGTCCTCCACAGACCTTCATCAGGGCAGAGTCAGAAAGTCTGTCGAGAATCAGAGTTTTAGTCTAAAAACGTGATGCAAGAAAGAATTTTAGAATGAAATCACAAAGGACAAAATGATGGAATTCATTTTCATGTGTTAAAACCAGCTAAGCTTTACTATTATGCCTCCTTATTTCATATGAAATAGCTTCAGCCAACAAACATTTAAAGCTTTTTTTTTTTACTACAAACAGTCCATTTTTAATCAGAAATTATATTTTTCATACAGATAGCGATGCTCTAAATAAATTAGAGCTGCCACAAACGACTTTCAGCTCTAAACAAAACTAATGTTTGATTTACCCAAAAAAAAAAAAAAAAAAAAAAAAAAAAAAAAAAAGGTTTTTCATTGAATTTCTCCTCCATATTTCAACTTTTCTGGTTGAAGTTGAAATACTAAAATGAATTGAAAGTTTATAATCAGATAAAGATCCGACTTTAACATAACTGAATATCTCATGAATTAAAGGAGAATCTTTACGAGCAACATAAAAACATAAAAAACTGATTACTTTCTGGTTTTAAAGGTCCAAATATTTAAACGTAAAGCGATTATTTCTAACCTTTAAATCAGGTGTTATTTGAATAACTTGGCAGGTTTATTTGTGTTTTAATCTGATTTCAGGTCTAAAGGAGCTGCTGGTCTTACTTTGTGGTGCTGGATAGATCCAGGTGCTGGTCGTCCTCATCAGAGCTGCTGTCGTCTGAGCTGGATGGTTTTGGTTCTGGTTGCTCCTGACCCGACAGCAGCGTGGCGGACTGAAACAGAAGGGAGTCGGTAAAAACCAAAATGTCTCAAAATCACAAAGAAAGCATTCATAACAGTTATGTAGGCGACTCTGGAGGCTCTGCAGATGTATTTATGGGTTTAAAAAACACTTAAATCCTGATCTGTGCGTTTCTACCAAATTGTGCGTGTGTGTGTGTGTGTGTGTGTGTGTGTGTGTGTGTGTGTGTGTGTGCGTGCGTGCGTGTGTGTGTGATTGACCATAAAAACCTGCTGAAGGAAATTAAACTCCCACTGATAACAGGATGGATAGTTTTGTTTCTGGTGTGAAAAATAGATCAAATTTAAATATAAAAGCTGTTTCTGGTTTCTTTAATTATTCCGTGTGTTTTAGGGTACACTGGGTTTAATTTTGTTGTTTCTGAACATTTAGCAGTAAAAGCCTGCTGGACTAGATCTGACGGTCATGACCCAAACTTTCACTAACAGGACTAAATATACAGAATTATTTAGTAAACCAAATTTGGAAAATATCAAAGTTTTTATGGTTCAACTGTTTTATTAAAACAAACTTAGCTAATCCAGTAAAGTTAAAACTTTAAAAGTCTGCTGGAGGATGATTACAGTTTCCCGGTGTGTTTATTTCCACTTCATTCGTCTTTAACTCTCAACACAACCATCAACACAAACTTCCAAGTGAAAAAAAGGGGAGGAAGAAGAAAAATAGTATATGGCCTACCCCTTCTACTAAATACAAAACAATTTACAATACGGCCTTAAACACCATCAAACAAATATCTCTCTTTTCTTTGCAAACAATATCACATAATTAGCATCATAACCTAGGAGCCTGGGTGCAGCATTGGCTTTAGAGAATCATCTCATTCTGTGTTTATGAGCTCCAGATCAGATCAGCTGTTTAGGATCCTGCAGCAGACTTAAGCCTCGGATCTGCCTGCAGGGTGCGGGACAGCTCATGGTCGGTCGGTGTGAACCAGTATGGTCTGACATTTCAGTAGAGTGTGTTTGGGCGCTTGTGTTGGCAGGCTGGGTTAGAAACGAACCATCATGCGTTATTTAATAAATAAGTTGTGAAACAAATCAGTTTTTTTGTGCCGCGATAAACGGCTTCACAAGAGACTCCATTAGTGCGGTTGCTGAGTCCAGCCGCCTCGGCTCGCCAGTCTGTGGCTATAAATAGCATCCAGCACATCGTAGCCCCTCCATGTATTTCTCCCCTTTCCACTGCGGCTGTTTCTCCCCTTAACCTTTTTATACTGGGCTTTCATTTCTTCAGCTTGGCCCGACTCTGTTCCGACATCTGCTCGAATCCTTCGGCTACCATTCGCTGAGAAACATCTTGCACCGCTCCGCCTAGCTCGTCCTGAGCGTGGACTCTCATGACGATGGTGAGAAATGTACGGAGCTCTGAAGCTGACCAAACCTCGCTGCTACTTGCTGCCATTTTCTCACATCTGTGAATTACTAATGAAAATAATAAAACTAGGGCTGCACGATTCTGGTTAAAATGAGAATCATGATTTTATTTTGCTTAGAACTGAGATCTCGATTCGCTCACGATTTTTTTCCAAAACAAGTTTTTGTTGCACTTAACATAACAGCTGTCACTGAACATGAAAACAAATGTCTCTCGGCATCTCTTACGTACACAACTTCTGAATAATTTAAACAATAACAATTTTGAAACAATATTCTCTCTGCTTGTAAGGTGATGAGAGAGGTAGGTAATAGATGTTTCTTTAATTGTAAACCGCAATTATTAACAAAATGTAACATTTAACAGGACAACATGACTGTTGACTATGGCAGGATCACAACAGAGAACAACGTCCTTTTTATATCTAGCCAGCTGCTAAAAATTGGTATGCAGGTATGAACTGAGATAGCTAATTATTTATTTATTTATTTTACGATCATTTGTGCAGCCCTACTAACAATGGAACTCCGAGGTTTGTTCTGCCTGTTGCAAGTAGTGATGTATTTCTATCCCCCAATCAGTGGACTGTGTTGTCGCTCCACCCTAACCGTACTGCTTCACAAAGTGCCGTCAGTGGCGTGGTACGGTTGTTTGGACCGGTTTTACAATCAGGACAGAAAAAACAGCGGATCACCCCAAACCCTGCTGAGCTATTAAAAATGTCTAAAACCAGCCTGCAGCTTTAAAGATGATCAATCCTTCTGCTGATGGATGAAACAGTTGAGAAGTTGGCTCCTCCCAACTCTCAGGACCGTTTTACCAAAAACTAAATGGTAAATCGATCACCTTCACAAAGCTTCCATACAGTTTGGCTCTCTCCAGCAAGGCCTTCCGTGGTTTTTTATTGGAGATTGTTCCATCCTCTCCATCCGCCGTCTTCTTCACCTTTATTCCGTTCTGGATCCAACAGAAACAAAAACAATGATATTAACTGTTTTTAGACACATTAAACAACTCCAGAGGATATGAGTTAGGGTTAACCCTCAGTTACTCTGACTGAGATTCACGTGGTGACTAAATGAGCTAAATCTGATCATTATTTTTAGGTCTTTTAGGCTGAAGTCTGATTTTAAAGCCTCGGACTCACCTGATCGCTCTCCACCTGCAGGCTGGCAGATGCCTTGTTAAAGACGTGATCCCACCAGTGGAAACTGAACTGCTCCCCTTCTTTATGACCAACCTGGATGAAAAGATTATAAAACTAAATGAATAAAAACTATTTAAAAAGTGATCAAATGCAGCAAGAAAGCAGCAGTAACTCACGCCTCCTTTGTCACATTTCACTTTGACTTTGATTGCCTCTGATATGCCGTTCTCAGCTCGTCCCAGTCCTTTACCTGCAGAGATGGTGGACCGAGTCAGACACCAGAACTCGGACCCATAACCTGAATCTGAAGCTGCATCTCACCATGCTCCCAGCCGTGGCGCCGGAGCTGGCGCTCTGCAAACTTCAACCCACGACTATTCTCCTCTTCAGCCATCTGATGAGGACATGAAGACAGAACCAAAGATGGACTCAGGTCAATTCTGAAGGCAGGAATAAAAGATGGCTGCTGAAAAAAATATACAAATATTTATAAAATCCGAACTTAATCTCCGTGTCCTGTAGAAACAGTCAAGTCAGTGATGTGATTCAACTTTTTATGAGAAAACTACAGAAAATGACGGTTTCAGGCTGAAACTGAATAAAAACACTCAGGAAAACCTTCGGAGTCTGCAGACCTGTTGATTTAGACCCTCTCAGAGAATGACAGTAGAAAACTTAATAAATGAAGAGTTGGTAAAAGAAAAACACAAAGACACGAGGGCTGAATCAACACTTCTGACCCAAAGATGAGACGCGATTTTGTAGTTCTGAGGACATAAATCCGTTTGACTTCTTATAAATTCAGTTAAACGTTCAGATCTAAAACAAAAACAAAAAATTAAATCTGATTTCGTTTGTCCACCTTGCTAAGCTGATGCTTCATTCCGTTTTAAGCTAACACGCGTGTCTAACCATCTAATATTCACTGATCTAAAACAAACTTAATATAAATATATTTAATCCAAGTTTAATCGTTAAACAGAAAAAATATACACGAACAAACCTGATTGCTTGTTTCGTTTAGCTTTTCTAACCGGTGTCAGCTGTAGTCCATGTGGTTTCAGCCGGAAGCCGACACCGGAAGTTTTCTTCTTCTTCTACGTTTGATTTACAATTGGTCGGCAGTTGTTCTATTTGCGCCACGTAGTGGAATAATGAAATGCAGCAATTCAGATCTTATTTGATCGTTAATAAATATAAAAAAAACATTTAGCTGCACTGCGTGATAAACGCATTTACTAATGTCATGTATTGTTGTTTTTGTTATAAATAGTAGTAGTAGTAGTAGTGGTAGTAGTAGTAGTAGTAGTAGTAGTAGTAGTAGCAGTGGTAGCCCATGAAATACATTTTCACACAGCGTTTGTTTAAACGCAGTTTCACCAGCAGGTGGCAGCATTTCACATAAAACATGAACATGTGGCCTTGCTGTGACTGTCGGCTCTCTGGCGGTATGAACTACACTTAATAAACACAAATATTTTCAAGTTTTATTTGTGAGTAAAGATAAATAACATGATTTTGAGAAAAGACAAATAACTGAACACACAGCTGCATCTCCTTTTCACATCTCCAACAGAAAGATGATCAGCAACAAGCATTTTTGTTCAGCTCTTCTTGAAGCACTTCAGTAAAATATAAACCATGACTGAATATTAAAATATATTATTTAAGCTTAAAAACACGAATTAACATGCTTTTCCAAGAATACAGTATTTAATCTATTTCCCAATGTGGATCTGGACCAGTTTTTATCCCAGAAACAATCCCAGGATGAAGAAATCACACCAATCTGAATGTTAGGAATGATACTCGGGTGTGAAAGACTGTTCCATCCAGAACTGCTCAGTTTCAGGGATGTTTGTGTTCTCTTGATGCTTTTTCTGACCTTCTCAGGATGGCAGCTCCCAGACTGGGACCGCTGGTCTGAGTCTAAATGGACGGCTGGCAGGAAACTATCCTGTTTCCTCCTGCCCTGGTTTCCTTGCTGTGAGGATGTTTGCTCCTGCAGATCTCCATCCAGGAGCTGTTTATCTGTGTCAGCACCCAGCAGGGAGGAAAACGCATACTGGTCATCAATACTGGCCCACTGTTCGGGAAGAAGGAGGCCATTACACAGCTGTCAATAGCGTCTGCGTGAGACAAAGAGACAGATAAACTGTTACAGCTACACAGAGCCTTGACTTGTGGGATTTGGGTCAGGCTTCCTGACTTCCTGCACAAACTGACAACCTGAAATCAGGACAGCAATTTTTAGACGACAGCGCCGTAAATAAAACCCGCCTCATAAAAAAGTTTGACTGGTGGACACAGATTGCTGTCGCTCTGTTCTGGAAGCTTTTGCTGCAGGAATCAACATATCAATGATCACCAATGTGATGGAAAAATACCTACGAGGACAGATTTGTTATTTTGGTTCTCCACCAGAAATAAGGGATGTCCTCCCTCCAGCTTTTGCATCCAGGTGTCCACCGTCACCATTGTTCCTGATTAATGGACAGAGGAAAAATGGACTGAAAGGTTCCACCTGCAGTGATGAAGGTGTCCTTCCATAAGGAGCTGAGATAAAACGATCCAAGCCCTCACCAATGCTCAGGTGGACGAGCAGGTGGGCAGCATAGATTGAAAAGAGGAAAATTAGAAACATTCCAGAGAAGTTAGGTTAAACATGAAGGTGAAGCTGGAGAAGACTTCCAGATCCCTGGAATGAGTTCTAACAGCTGGGCTGTAATAGGTCTGAGTGTTAATCTCCTGCAGATCCCCTAGTGGGTGGTTCAGCTGTTAATGAGCTTGATGCAAAATACCTGCAGCACCTGCAGTCTCCTATCAGTCCTGCATCAGTCTCTGCTGCTTCCAAAAGTAATCTGATTCCTTTTTGGGTCAGTTTGGCCCAACTAACCTCCATCCTGAGCTAGTCCTTTATTGTTTTAATGTTTATATTGAGTCTTTTATAGG